ACCAGTGATCTTTCCAGACGCCACTATATTTAACAGTGCTCATTTTCTCATCACATGACCAAAGAAAGAACTTCTCTCCTTTTCATTCTTGTATATAATGATCTACTTTCATTATCCATTTCCAGGCAATCATTATTAGTTATTCTGGCAGTCCAAGGAAATTACAACATTCTTCTCAAGAACAACATCTCAGTTACCTCCAAACTCTTGGTTCACATTACCATGAGACATATCTCTTCTTCTATGTTCGCCCTTCGCATAGTGGTTGCAATGCTGTGTTGTGGTGGACATCTAGGTGGGATACATACGTTTTTCGGCCCACAAGAACCAATGTCAGTTAGTCAGTCAGTTAGTCAGTCAGTTAGTACGAATCTGGAACTTAGTCAATAACTGATAATCACAGCTCACAGTGCCGCCAGGAGCACTAAACTCAGTAGCTCCAGCTGAAAACCGGACACCCACAATCTTGCAACATGGAAACTGGAGGATAAACGACGATGAGAACAGTCAACATAAGCTCTCAACCATCATCCATTTCCTATCAATGTCGGAACCGGAAGTCTGAGAACCAATTTCAGCAAATCCTTAATTAGTCATCTTTTACAACTTACTTGTTATGGGGGCAGTGGGTCTATCCCGCTCCAGAGTCCTCAAGAGCACCCACGTGAATGACAACAATAATACAGAGTAAAAGCAGCATCCATGCTTACATTATGACAACCCCAATCAGACAGTAAAAATGGCATCTATTGTCTCATTAACATGATAAGTACAGTTAATCTGGCATCTGTGTTCTCATTATAACAATTAGAATCATTAAATAAAAACAAAATGGCATCCAATCTCATTATGACAACCACAATCAAAAAAAAAAAGCACCCTATCTCATTCAAATGGGAAATAGAATGAGCACATATGAACAGATAAAAAAAAGTGTAAGACAGGGATGTGTTTTGTCACCAGACCTCTTCTCTCTCTACATTGGGATGATGGATCTCTGACATACTCTGCCATTCGTCCTGGGTAAACTCTCTCAGTCTGCTATTCTTCCATCTCCTGATATTATCCTTTCACTAGTAGTGCTCTCTGCCTCCTCCTTGGCTGCCTTCAACTGTTTCCTCCAGAAGGGTTTGTGAATGTTGAATTAGGAACTGACACCACAGGACTCAGAACAAGGCACCAATAACAATTTGATTGTCTTCTTCTTTATTTTTCTTTTCGTTCATCCGAGTGATGTAGTTGCCTTGTGACTGTTTATGGCATAGCTGCCATATTTGTGCCTTTTGGCTGACACATCTGACTTCAATTAGCATTTATTGACCAGATTAACTTCGAAATAGTTTTGTCTGACCTGACACAATCTTATTTTTGTGGTCTTTTCTTTGTCCATTTGTCTACATGTGTTGCCCCTAGAGAACCCGTCCAGGGCAGAGAGAGCCCTCCAGGGCAACCATGTGTAAACTGGCTGTCCTTCAAGGGATGGCACTTGCAAATCTTGGGCTTCCCCACCATCCAAGGAGGCTTCCATAAATGCAGAGCCAAAACATGACATGACAAGGAACTGTCATGCACAGTTTCATTGAATTTCTATCTCCCCTTTCCCCTGAAAAGAAGTGCTTTTATAAGTGTTATGTCTTTTAACTCTTCAAGTCCCAAGGAACGCATCATACGTTCATAGGTTCCTACCTAGAAGCCCAATAAACGCATGATGCGCCGATTTTATTACTTTCTTTACTACCCCCCTGGGCCTGTGAGGCTAAGCCACCTGGGACTCAAAGAGTTAATAATGCCAAAATATTTTCACTTGTCCCATTTTTAATTTCTTCTGCAACTTTCTTTTCATTTCTAATAATTATAATAATGATCATAAAAAGAAACAGCATGAAAACCTAAAAAAGTCCTATTACATTCATTTGTCAATGAAATCACCAAAGAAACAACATGCCACCTTTTCTGCACAAGTGAAACATCACTAAATACCTCACCCCATCAGAGTTGGTTAAGTTGAGCAGGTTCCTGTGTGTTGTCAGCATTAACTTCATGCAGTCCACTCTTCCTTGGAGAGCAGCTAGATGGAGCGGGGTATTATTTTTGTTGTCCCTGTGAAAGGATCAACAAGGGATACATCAATGTTTGGAATCTGGCATGCCAGAAGTCAGATAAACCATTAGTTTAATTATTAGATAGATGTCTCCTATTGGAATGTTCCCAAAACAGATGACTCCTCCTAGTATGGTCCCAGAATACAGATTTTTGTTTGAGCGTTCCCAGAACGGTCTATTCCTGTAAGAATGCTACCAGAATGGCTTACTGTCTGAATGTTCCTAATATGGCCGACTACTGTCTGAATGTTCCCAAAAAAGCTGACTCCTGTTTGAATGTTTCCAGAATGGCTGACTCCTGTTTGAATGTTCCCAGAATTGCCGACTTCTGTCTGAATGTTCCCAGAGTGGCTGACTCCTGTTTGAATGTTCCCAGAATGGTTGACTCCTGTCTGAATGTTCCCAGAGTGGCTGACTCCTGTTTGAATGTTCCCAGAATGGCTGACTCCTGTCTGAATGTTCCCAGAAAAGCTGACTCCTGTTTGAATGTTCCCAGAATGGCTTACTGTCTGAATGTTCCTAATATGGCCGACTACTGTCTGAATGTTCCCAGAATGGCTGACTCCTGTTTGAATGTTCCCAGAGTGGCTGACTCCTGTTTGAATGTTCCCAGAATGGCCGACTTCTGTCTGAATGTTCCCAGAGCGGCTGACTCCTGTTTGAATGTTCCCAGAATGGTTGACTCCTGTCTGAATGTTTCCAGAGTGACTTACTCCTGTTTGAAAATTCCCAGAATGGCTGACTCCTGTCATTTATCCATCTCTTTGTATTACCCTTGCCCTCCTCCCGTATGTTCTGCTGTAAAAAATCTCGTATGCAGTTTGGTCTGGCAGCATTCTCACTAGTTGGCTGAATCATTTCATTCTTTGTCTGTCAATATAAACTAGACATTGTCTTATTCTGACTTTCTCTCTAATTCGAAACCCTGTCTCTTCTAGTGTTGTTAGTGACCTTTTCAGAGCAGGGCATTTCACATGAAGTTATTTTCTGTTTTAAGTGCCCTATTCATTGTCGGTTACAGTCGATTACATTAGCTCGCTCTATCCAAACCCTAAGCCCTTCTGATCCAGTATTAGCTTAACTCATCATCATCATTACCATCCCCAACCAGCAGGTTCTTTAAACAATATAGCTCTCGTCACGGCATACCTAAAAGTCTCTCTAGCAAATATTCCTGCCTGAGTTACCATAGTAGGGAGCTGAACTGCCTTCAGTTTTATCTTATCCTCGAGTGACGGCCCCTGGCATATCCCCAGGTATTTGTTTTTTTTGGGCTCCTCGTGCCTCGCCAGACTACTGTCTTGACATCGACCTGGCTGCCATGAGATAGGAAGATAAGTGATATTGTGTATTTGTGTAGTATTGTCTAATCTATGTATGTGGTCAAGAAGGCTCCACAGCCGCAACGTTCACATTCTGTTTGTGTTTGTTATATTGTGTAGCTCGCTAATACACTTATCATTCAATTTCATATCTTTCCCTGAGTTACCATAGCCAATGCAGCTACAACATCATATACCCATCTTTGTGGACATTGGCTTCTGCTTCATTTTTGTTATTATTTTTAAAGACAATGTATCTTCTCTCACCACTTTCCCCTAGGCCATCATGAAGTTTAACATGGCCAAAATTCCTCGGGAAAGGATGTTTTTTACCAGCCAGTTCTCCTCGATGTTCAGATTGTGTAGGATGTTGAGGTTTTTCTTCTTCTTGGTCAATAATAATTCAAGAATGTTTCTATAATATTTCAATTTAAAAGCTCAATTTCTTTCTTCCGTGATTGCGTAAGAGTTAATTTAACTCATTATTGCTAAAATAATGTCTGTTCTAATACATTTTCCCTTCCCTGTATGCACTCCGGGGCCCACTTTGGAAAGACAAACAAAACAGTTAGACCCACTGTTCCAGTAGAAGTATGGCGTAAAAGTCTACTAATTAGGGGTTTCCTTCAAAGTGAGAGTGCATCTGTCTGAGAGGTGAGGAACCAACAGTCTGCTTACATATAAGCCAAATCTGTAAAACAGATGTGTACTCACAACTCAAATTCTAGAACAAACTCTAGAAGTGAACGAGCAACCAAAACTTTCTGGTAGAGTTTAAAGCAAGGGAAAATTTAAAAAAAAGAAGAAGAATGTATGTTTTATCCTTTACAGAATGAGTTAGGGAAATTACAGGGCACCAAAAGGGTTAAATAATGTGGACGACAACAAGACACTGCACACTAAAAAGCACACTTCGCTGAATCTCGTCAGCTGCAGTACTACAGGGTTACATCAACGTGTTATAAAGAACACCCCCCCCCCCCCCCTCCAAAAAGCCCTTTCCCTTGCAAAAGACAGATAACACTGTCTTTTCTAGTTACACTAGTCGTGACTGAAAGTTCAAGATAGAGTACAGGTTAATCCAACTAAGTGGCCTTGGTGTAAAGCCTGTCAAAGCATGTCTATGCCATCTCTGAGGTCAAGTTAGGAGACACTGCAATCAAATTTATCTCGTGTTTGGAGGTCGGGGGGTGGGAATATCCATCCTCAAAAAAACATGCATTAAGTCGACTAGTTAGGAGTGTTTCCTTCAAAGAGAATGCATCTGTCTGAGAGCTGAGAAACTATCAGGTCTGCATACAAATAAACTAGCTCTGTAAAACAGATATGCAGGTGAACACTCTGAGTTCTGGAACAAGAGTACAGTCAGGAAGCAGACAAACAATCAGGTAACAAACACAGGTGGAAATGAATGTGATAACATAAGTGCGAGAGAGTAAAGGAACAGAACACTTACTTGCTGACGGATACACCTTTATTCAGGAGTAGAGATACGATCTTAATCTGTCCACACCAGGCTGCAAGGTGAAGAGGTGACTGGCCTTGCTCATCAGTCTCGTTCTGTAGGGCAGCTCCACTATCTTTTACCAAGAACTGATAAAACAGTTCTGTAACGTCCATACCTGCATGAATATTCAAATCTCAAAATACTGACAAGTCTTGAAACAACTGAACCTGGTTAATGACCCATCTGTTCTATACAAGTCTTGAACCAACCAAACTAAACCTGTTCTATACAAGTCTTAAACCAACCAAACTAAACCTGTTCTATCCAAGTCTTAAACCAACCAAACTAAACCTGTTCTATACAAGTCTTAAACCAACCAAACTAAACCTGTTCTATACAAGTCTTAAACCAACCAAACTAAACCTGTTCTATACAAGTCTTAAACCAACCAAACTAAACCTGTTCTATACAAGTCTTAAACCAACCAAACTAAACCTGTTCTATACAAGTCTTAAACCAACCAAACTAAACCTGTTCTATACAAGTCTTAAACCAACCAAACTAAACCTGTTCTATACAAGTCTTGAACCAACCAAATTAAACCTGTTCTATACAAGTCTTGAACCAACCAAACTAAACCTGTTCTATACAAGTCTTTTAACAACCAAACTAAACCTGTTCTATACAAGTCTTTTAACAACCAAACTAAACCTGTTCTATAAAAGTCTTGTAACAACCAAACTAAACCTGCTCTATACATATCTTGTAACAACCAAACTAAATCTTCTCTATACATATCTTGTAACAACCAAACTAAACCTGTTCTATACATATCTTGTAACAACCAAACTAAACCTGCTCTATACATATCTTGTAACAACCAAACTAAACCTGCTCTATACATATCTTGTAACAACCAAACTAAATCTTCTCTATACATATCTTGTAACAACCAAACTAAACCTGTTCTATACATATCTTGTAACAACCAAACTAAACCTGTTCTATACATATCTTGTAACAACTAAACTAAAACCTGCTCTATACATATCTTGTCATGCCTTTAGGCTCATTGGTCATATGGGAAGCACACCCATATTTTTTACCGACCAATCCCCACTAGGTGGGTAATGTGGTTAGCATTACGCTGGCTGTCTTTACTTTCCCAGGACAGCCATTATGGTACCCATTTTAGGCTGGGTCGACCTGTGACACCCTATAAAATGATAAAAATCCAAGCATCCAGCAGTGGGTTTCAATCACGGTATGGTGAAATTACGAGTCGGACTCGCAACTCCTAAGCCAAGAACGCTGCGCCTATAGAATTAAAACAAACAGAATTGTTAAAATAACAGCAAAGTGAGAATTCCATATAAAATTATCGCAAACAGCAATAATATAATTAATAAAAGATTTAAAAGAAGCTGTCATGATAATTCACTATAAAATTTAAAACACACAATAACAATTCATAAAAAGTATTACAACCAACGGTAATACATCACTATTCAAATCATAACAATCAGAACAGTTAAAATTTCTATAAAATTAGAGCAGAGTCAGAATTTACAATGACATTCAATCAAAACAATTGAAATTCACTATAAAAAAGGGAAAAACATACTGTGCTGCAAGATGCAAGATTGTCTGTTTCTTGTTGCTTTTTAAATTCAATGAAGAGCCCAGCTTAACCAGGTCAAGAAACATGGCCAGATTTCCGCACTTGGCAGCATAATGTAAGGGCGTGAAGCCAAAGACATCTTTGGCTTTGATTAATTTCTGATAATGTTTGATATCCTGGGGGGTAAACAGCAGGCAAGTTTGTCAATGATTTACATGTTATACTGATAACAATGTATCTGCCCCAGTATATGATGATCTGGCTATCCTCCGAATAACAGTCCCAAATTATCGAGTCTAAGAAAATACCCTAACAGGGCCTCAATACTTGTGACTGCGCCACCTGGTAACTGTGCTAAATATTCAGTAAACAACGACTAGTGCCGCCATGGTAACACCGCGTCAGCGTAAGTTCCATCCATAACCCGTCAATCGATAGTGTCGGGGTTTCACTGTTGTGACAGATTATGGTAGCGGTGTCATAACTGCAATACTCCTGGCCCCAACCCTAACCCTAGGAAGAAGTTAAACCTAGGACCCAGGGAAGAAGTTAAATCTAGGACCCGGGGGAGAAGTTAAACCTAGGACCCAGGGGAGAAGTTAAACCTAGCACCCAGTGTCGGAGCTGTTAAAACCCTCGATGATTTGGGACCGTTATTCCGAGAAATATTTCCCGCGGTATGCGGTAGATTCGCCGAAAGGTAGTCTGCAATTTACATATGATTGAGACCCTGTCAGGGTATTTTCTTAGCCTCGATAATTTGGGGCCATTATTCGGAGGATAGCCGATAATCTTAAATGTATCTCCTCCACTCTAAGCAAATCCTCCATGTATCTCCTACAGTCTAATTTTAATATTCACTATATCTCCTCCACTCTATGCTAATCTTTCATGTATCTCCTCTACTCTGTGCTAATCTTCGATTATCTCCTTCACAAAATTAACACTAGAACTGACATAGCGTAAGACTTCAGATGAGTTCCTGACATCATCACTATAACTGTCATAGCACAGTCTTTAGATGAGATCCTGACATCATCACTAGAACTGTCATAGCATAAATTTTAGATAAGATCCTGACATCACTACTATAACTGTCACAGTATAGACTTTAGATGAGATCCTGACATTATCACTAGAACTGTCATAGCACAGTCTTTAGATGAGATCCTGACATCTCACTATAACTGTCATTGCATAGATTTTAGATTAGGATCTTGACATCACTACTATAACTGTCACAGTATAGACTTTAGATGAGTTCCTGACATTATCACTAGAACTGTCATAGTACAGTCTTTAGATGAGAGCCTAACATCTCACTATAAATGTCATAGCATAGATTTTAGATTAGGATCTTGACATCACTACTATAACTGTCACAGAATAGACTTTAGATGAGTTCCTGACATTATCACTAGAACTGTTATTTCATAGACTTTAGATTAGGTTAATGGCAGCGTCACTAGAACTGTCATAACATAGACTTTAGATTAGGTTAATGGCAGTGTCACTAGAACTGTCATAACATAGACTTTAGATTAAGTTAATGGCAGCGTCACTAGAACTGTCATAACATAGCCTTAGATTAAGTTAATGGCAGAGTCACTTTAACTGAATAACATAGACTTTAGATTAAGTTAATGGCAGCGTCACTAGAACTGTCATAACATAGACTTTAGATTAAGTTAATGGCAGCGTCACTAGAACTGTCATAACACAGACTTTAGATTAAGTTAATGGCAGCGTCCCTAGAACTGTCATAACATAGCCTTAGATTAAGTTAATGGCAGAGTCACTATAACTGTATAACATAGACTTTAGATTAAGTTAATGGCAGCGTCACTAGAACTGTCATAACATAGACTTTAGATTAAGTGAATGGCAGTGTCACTAGAACTGTCATAACACAGACTTTAGATTAAGTGAATGGCAGCGTCACTAGAACTGTCATAACATAGACTTTAGATTAAGTGAATGGCAGCGTCACTAGAACTGTTTTAACACAGACTTTAGATTAGGTTAATGGCTGCGTCACTAGAACTATCATAACATAGACTTTAGATTAAGTTAATGGCAGCATCACTAGAACTAGCATAACATAGACTTTAGATGAGGCCCAGACACAAAAATGATGATCTAAAACCAATGTCTGAATGCCTGAAACAACCAGAAGGAATTTTTTTTCCCATTAGCAGGTTCCAGGGCCCAATTTGAGAGTGGTAAAAAAAAGTTGTAAAACAACTCATTATGTATATGCTCTAATCGGAGATGCACTGGACCGAAAAGTGCAGATATCACAGCCCAGCTGTAAAACTCAACATGTTTCAACTGCCCTTTCAAGGTCAAATGCAGAAAAATAAGAAATTGAATGCTGACTTCCATGATACCACAAAACAACAACAAATGCTACATCATATGACCACCATGGGAATGAATCAGCTAAAATATGTTGAGTGCCAGAGCACTATGGGATAAGAGGGAATGAAGGCGTGGACTAGCTTGCCGGTAGGGCCATGATAGGTACAGGAAAAGCAACAGACGGGACTCACATTCTCAGTGCTCTCAAGGAGGTAGGAAGAGAAGATGATTCAGGAGACAAACCTGAATTGGCAACACTCAAAAAGACTAAAGAAACTTCAGGTCAAAAGAGGTGTCTCCAAACATAAACACTATACAAGTAGCCAAAGAAGAATAGTAAACCAACACAGAACTGATGCTATCAGCCGCCACACACTGAGGGACATATTGAAAATAGGATCCGGGCGCTTATGGACTTATCAGATTTGCAATGAGGATAATCTGTCAATTAACTAACTAACAAACTTCTTCTTCTTTCGTTCGCCTGAAATAAGTTGTCTATATCAGCAATTCTGTCTCTTGTATTAATTTCACTGTCGTTGTTAGTTCATTCAGTGGTCCATAGAGTTTACGTTCCACTGTTGTACTTTTGGCCAAAAGGTTTGCCTTAATGTGTCAAATTCGGTGCAGTCCTAGAGTACATGCTCTGCTGTCTGGGGCACCTTTCCACAGGTGATTTGCCTATCCTGAATTTTGTGTACATGTGGTTATGTAATTAGTTGTGCTCTGTTCTGAAGCGGAGGTTGATGACTTGTTCTGGTCTGCCCATAATAAAATAGTCGTCTTGCTGGGTCTGGTGGTTTCCTGATCGATTTAATGATTCTTCTAACTAACCAACTAACTAACTAATTCATATATACTGCATGTTTACCTTGAGAATTTCGATTAGATCCGGTATACTTTCCATGGCCAGCACAAGAAGATGAAGGAAGTTGCGCCGCTTTCTGTCCCTGCAGTAAGGGTCTGCCCCTGCATCCAGCAACTCTGACATGGTATCAATGTTGCCCTTGCTGGCAGATATCAGAAGCGGCGTGTTGCCATCAACATCCGTAGGGTTAGGTTTAATTCCTGGCTGTTGGGACAACACTGCTGGCGTTAGGACAATCATGATTGTATAACACAGCAAGGACAATCATGATTGTATGACACAGCAGGACAATCATGACTGTGGGACATGGTGTAACAGGGAGACGTCATCACTTGTCTGTCAGGAGTTAGGATATTGCGCATAATTAGAATAATCAACAAGTCTTGGCAACTTTGACATTCCCTTTCTAGAACCTTTCCGTGTTTATTAGCTGAGAGATATTTTGCAAATGAATATTCCATAAATAGTATCTGAGGTAATGTTTTTAAACATGCCCATTCAAAAAGAACGCAGCAGTATTCGCTTTCTGGAAGTTCTGGAAAACTTCTAGAAGGTCAGCTGTCAATTAAGCTAGTTTATTTAGGTGTAGAAATATCTGATGCATTTAGAAAATTCCACGTGAGAACATACATAGTAAACAAGTTTTAGCAAACAAGAATCTTCCAGAAGCAGTAGTGAGTATAAAACACATACCTTGCATTCCAGCATCTCAGTATAAATAGTGGGTAAGAAACCACTTGGGTAACCTTCAGTCATCGAGACTTGGAAGAGGAGGGACTAGTAATATTGACCCTCAAAGACAAGAACTCTTATTCTTTAGTCCTCAAGACCTAGAAGCAGAGGAACCAGTCATATTGAGCCTCAAAGAGTCACATGAGAGGAGACTTGAATGAGACATCGAACTACACAGACAATAAACAAGATACATGGATCTATGGTCAACAGAGACGCATTAGATAGAAACATTACTAAGATGTTACAGTCGACAATCCAACTGTTAGTACCAGACAGCACTAGTAGCCAGGTGGCAGTTACATACACTAGAACGAGTTAACAAAGTAACTAGAGATGAAGAACACAACACAACATCAAGCGTACGTAGAGCTTAACCAGCTACTGTTTAAAATATCACTGATGATATTTGTGACAGTACAGAGTTATTACAATGAAGACAGTATAGAAAATATATGTTGTTTCAAGACATTATACAAGCATCAGTGATGTGAGAAGAATGCAGCAAGCATGAGAGACCATCATCATCACCACTATCAACATGACTATATTTCTCCCCATCTATATGTCTCTATTGACTCCTTCTGTAGCAAAGTAAAGACAAACCTTGTGTGAAATGGCAAGGGCAAACATGATTGTGTGACATGGCAAGGGCAATCATGTTTGTGTGACACAGCAAGGGCAATCGTGTTTGTGTGACACAGCAAGGGCAATCATGGTTGTGTGACACAGCAAGGGCAATCGTGTTTGTGTGACACAGCAAGGACAATCTTGGTTGTGTGACACAGCAAGGGCAATCGTGTTTGTGTGACACAGCAAGGGCAATCATGGTTGTGTGACACAGCAAGGGCAATCGTGTTTGTGTGACACAGCAAGGGCAATCATGGTTGTGTGACACAGCAAGGGCAATCGTGTTTGTGTGACACAGTAAGGGCAATCATGGTTGTGTGACAGAGCGAAGATAATCATGACTATGTGACACAGCAAGGGCAATCATGGTTGTGTGACACAGCAAGGGCAATCGTGTTTGTGTGACACAGCAAGGGCAATCATGGTTGTGTGACACAGCAAGGGCAATCGTGTTTGTGTGACACAGCAAGGGCAATCATGGTTGTGTGACAGAGCGAAGATAATCATGACTATGTGACACAGCAAGGGCAATCATGGTTGTGTGACACAGCAAGGGCAATCGTGTTTGTTTGACACAGCAATGATAATCAAGATTGTGTGACAGAGCGAAGATAATCATGACTATGTGACACAGCAAGGGCAATCATGGTTGTGTGACACAGTGAGGATAATCATGGTTGTGTGACACAGTGAGGATAATCATGGTTGTGTGACACAGCAAGGGCAATCATGTTTGTGTGACACAGCAAGGATAATCAAGATTGTGTGACAGAGCGAAGATAATCATGAATGTGTGACACAGTGAGGATAATCATGATTGTGTGACACAGCAAGGATAATCAAGATTGTGTGACAGAGCGAAGATAATCATGAATGTGTGACACAGTGAGGATAATCATGATTGTGTGACACAGCAATGATATTAATGACTGTGTGTCAAAGTAAATTGGGAGTGAGCTAACAATCATGATTGTGTGACATAGCAAGGACAATCGTTGTGTGAGACAGGAGAGACAATCCTGGTTGTGTGACATACTATCAACAATCATGATTGTGCGACATAACAAGAATGATTATGATTGTGTAACACAGGAAGGATAATCATGATTGTGTTACATAGCAAAGACAATCATGGTTGTGTGACACAGCAGGGACAATCATTGCTGTGTAACATAGCTGCGTGAAAAAGTAAGAACAATCATGGCTGCGTGACACAGCAAGGACAATCATGGCTGCGTGACACAGCAAGGACAATCATGGCTGTGTGACAGCAAGGACATAGCAAGAACAATCATGGCTGCATGACACATCAAGAACAATCATGGCTGCGTGACACAGCAAGAACAATCATCGCTGTGTGACACATCAAGAACAATCATGGCTGCGTGACACAGCAAGGACAATCATGGCTGCATGACACAGCAAGGACAATCATGGCTGCGTGACACAGCAAGGACAATCATGGCTGCATGACACAGCAAGGACAATCGCAGCTGTGTGACACAGCAAGGACAATTGCAGCTGTGTGACACAGCAAGGACAATTAGGGCTGCTTGACACAGCAAGGACAATCGCAGCTGTGTGACACAGCAAGGACAATTAGGGGTGCATGACACAGCAAAGACAATCCCAGCTGTGTGACACAGCAAGGACAATTAGGGGTGCGTGACACAGCAAGGACAATCCCAGCTGTGTGACACAGCAAGGACAATCGCAGCTGTGTAACACAGCAAGGACAATTGCAGCTGTGTGACACAGCAGGGACAATCATGGCTGCGTGACACAGCAAGGACAATCATGGCTGCGTGAAACAGCAAGGACAATCACAGCTATGTGACACAGCAAAGACAATTGCAGCTGTGTGACATGGAAAGGACAATCACAGCTGTGTGACACAGAAAGGACAATCGCAGCTGTGTGACACAGCAAGGACAATCGCAGTGGTATGACACAGCAAAGACATGAAGTATGTTCTAGGGCGCAACTAATTAAAAGTCGGAAGTGCGTATGCATAGGTAACAAGGAACCATCAGTCCGGATACAAATAAGCCAGATATGTAAAATGGGCATGCATGCAAAACTCAACTTTGGGATCAAAGATCTAAGTCCAGGAGTGGAGGAACAACCAGAACTATCCACCGGAGTTTACAGCTGGGTAACGCTAAGAAGAAGAAGAAACAACTAGACTAGATGTGGTTTCAAACCCAAGATATCTGGACAGGTGTCTAGCTCCCACACTATCACAGCACCACTGGCTACCACAGAAAGAAAAGTACCCTTTTCCACGCCTACAGGTGTATTGGGCATACAGGACTAGACCTATATATTATGGACCAACTGGCATCTCGTGGGTGATGTGGTCAACATCAAGCCAATTGGCTTCACTTCCCAGGACTTTACCTGGTACTCATTTAACTCTTTGTGTCCCAAGGAACGCATCAAACGTTCATAGGTACTGCCTAGAAGCCCAATGAACGCATGATGCGCTGATTTTACGTCTTTCATGACTACACCTTGGGCCTGTGATGCTAAACCCTCTGGGACTCGAAGAGTTAAGGCTGGGTTGACCTGATAGCCAAGGTCATTTATTTAAAAAAAAAAAAAAAGTCTGGCTCCAACTAGCCTCTACACCGTGGCGTTTCCCACTGGCTGACCTAACAAACAAAAAATGCAAATGTGTGACGCAACAACAACAGTTATGAATGTCTGGGCTGGACAAGCCTAACAATCAACAAATACAAATCTTTGACACAATAATAACAATTATGAATATCTGCTGTGGACAAGCCTAACAATCAAACAAATGCAAATGTGTGACGCAACAACAACAGTTATGAATATCTGGGCTGGACAAGCCTAACAATCAACAAATAACCATTTGTAACATAATAATACCAATTATGGATATCTGGGCTGGACAAGCCTAAAAAACAACAAACACTGTGACACAATAATAACAATTATGAATATCTATAGTGGATAAGTCAAGATCACTGACCTTCTCCAGCAGATAGGTAACCATGTTGGTGTGGTTGAAGATGGTTGCCCAGTGAAGAGGGGTTCTCTTGAGATAGTCTGTCCTGTTCAAGGTCTTGCCAAAGAGCTCCTTCTGCAGTTCATACATCACCTTAGCTAACTCGATCAGTCCCTGAGCTGCAACTAGATGCAGCGGTGTTGAACCCACTCCCTAGCACAAACATAGTTGAATGTTAACTGGGAATGTGTCTTATGCTGAGCCGTGTCATGCTGCTCACTTGAGTGAGCTACTATCTGACATTTTGTCTATTGTTTGACAGATGAGATGAACTACTGTCTGAGAGATGAACTACTGTCTGAAAGATGAGCCACTGTTTGAGAGATGAACCACTGTCTGAGAGATGAACTACTGTCTGAGAGATGAACTACTGTCTGAGATATGAGTTACTGTCTGAGAGATGAACTACTGTCTGAAAGATGAGCCACTGTCTGAAAGATGAGCTACTGTCTGAGAGATGATCTACTGTCTGAAAGATGAGCCACTGTCTGAGAGATGAACTACTGTATGAGAGATGAGCTACTGTCTGAGAGATGATCTACTGTCTGAAAGATGGGCCACTGTCTGAGAGATGATCTACTGTCTGAAAAATGAAACACTGTCTGAGAGATGAACTACTGTCTGAAAGATGAGCCACTGTCTGAGAGATGATCTACTGTCTGAAAGATGAGCCACTGTCTGAGAGATGATCTACTGTCTGAAAGATGAGCTACTGTCTGAGAGATGATCTACTGTCTGAAAGATGAGCCACTGTCTGAGAGATGATCTACTGTCTGAAAGATGAGCTACTGTCTGAGAGATGATCTACTGTCTGAAAGATGAGCTACTGTCTGAGAGATGATCTACTGTCTGAAAGATGAGCCACTGTCTGAGAGATGATCTACTGTCTGAAAGATGATCTACTGTCTCAAAGATGATCTACTGCCTGAAAGATGATCTACTGTCTGAGAGATGATCTACTGTCTGAAAGATGATCTACTGTCTGAAAGATGAGCTACTGTCTGAGAGATGATCTACTGTGTAAGAGACTAAGCACTGTTTGACAGATCAGCTATTTCTTCTGCCCATTTTGTGTTTCAGTTTTAAGGTTTCCTTTATTTGTTTCACTTTAATCGACTGTTACTGTAGCATGCATCTGATGAGACACAGCAAAATATGGCAGGCAATAAACTGTGCAATCTATTGTTTGTCTTTTTTTTTTCAGATGAGCTATATCTGAGAGATTAGCTATTATTATAAAAAGGAGATCCTGTCTGAGATTTGAGCTTCTGTCTAAGAGATGAGATCCTGTCTAAGAGGTGAGCTCTTGTCTAAGAGATTAGCGGCTGTCTAAAAGACAAGCTCCTGTCTGAGAGATGAGGTCCTGTCTGAGAGATGAGCCTCTATCGGAGAGATGAGCTGCTGTATGAGAGATGAGCTCCTATCTAAAATATAAGTTCCTATCTGAGAGACATTATCCTATCTGAGAGATGAGCTCCTGTCTGAGAGATGAGCTCCTGTCTGAGAGATGAGCTCCTGTCTGAGAGGTAAGCTTCTGTCTCAGAGGTGAGCTTCTGTCTGAGAGGTGAGCTCCTTTCATAGAGGTGACCTCTTGTCTGAGAAATGAACTCCTGTCTGAGATGTCAGCTCCTGAGAGGTGAGCTCCTGTCTGTAGTATGCATCTGGTGAGACACAGCAAAATATGTGAGGCAATAAACTGTGCAATCTATTGTTTGTGTCTTCTTTTTTTCAGATGAGCTACTGACAGAGATTATTGTCTGAGAGATTAGCTATTATTATACAAAGGAGCTCTTGTCTGAGAGATGAGCTCCTGTCTAAGAGATTAGCTCCTGTCTATGAAATAAGCTCCTGTCTGAGAGGTGAGCTCCTGTCTAAGAGATGAGCTCCTGTCTAAGAGATAAGCTCCTGTCTGAGAGGTGAGCTCCTGTCTAAAAGATGAGTGCCTGTCTGAGAGGTGACCTCCTGTCTGAGAGGTGAGCTCATGAGAGGTGAGCTCCTGTCTGAGAGGTGAGCTCATGAGAGGTGAGCTCCTGTCTGAGAGGTGAGCTCCTGTCTGAGAGGTAAGCTCCTGAGAAATGAGTTTCTGTCTGAGAGTTGAGCTCCTGTCTGGGAGACGAGCTTCTGTCTGAAAGATGATCTCCTGTCTGAGAGATAAGCTCCTGTCTGAGAGATGAACTAGTGTTGCTACAGTTAACTGCAAGTGTGGATTAGAAAAGAAGACTAATGGGGTCTTGACAACAACACATGGTTATTTATAAAAAATGCAAGTAATGTTAACTGGATGTGTTACCATGGTCATGTAGATAATCCACAACAATAAGTAAGCCAACAGTCTGGCTGTAAAAGCATCTACTGCTGACATTTTCGTGGAGATTATATGTTACAACTGTAAATCAGTACCAGATCCACATCTATACTTTATCACCACCATCAGTAACATATTCTAGGTATGGAATGCTGGCTGTACAACCTCCCGTTAACCTCTCTTGTTACTGTCACAATTGCTTGAACATTAAGTCTACCCAGGCAATGGCAAACAACAGAATTTCCCACAAACAAAAAAAATACCATAGCATTTGGAACATTCATAAAAGCGCTCCCAATGTGCAGTGATATCATCTGAGACAACATAACACCATGTGCAGTGATGTCAACAGAGACAACATAACACTATGTGCAGTGAAGTCACCTGGACAACATAACACCATGTGCAGTGATGTCAACTGAGACAACATAACACCATGTGCAGTGATGTCAACTGAGACAACATAACACTATGTGCAGTGATGTCACCTGGACAACATAACACCATGTGCAGTGATGTCAACTGAGACAACATAACACCATGTGCAGTGATGTCAACTGAGACAACATAACACCATGTGCAGTGATGTCAACTGAGACAACACAACACCATGTGCAGTGATGTCAACTGAGACAACATAACGCCATGTGCAGTGAAGTCACCTGGACAACATAACACTATGTGCAGTGATGTCAACTGAGACAATATAACACCATGTGCAATGATGTCAACTGAGACAACATAACACTATGTGCAGTGATGTCAACTGAGACAAGATAACACCATGTGCAGTGATGTCAACTGAGACAACATAACACCATGTGCAGTGATGTCAACAGAGACAACATAACACTATGTGCAGTGAAGTCACCTGGACAACATAACACCATGTGCAGTGATGTCAACTGAGACAACATAACACCATGTGCAGTGAAGTCTACTGAGACAAAATAACACCATGTGCAGTGATGTCAACTGAGACAAAATAACACCATGTGCAGTGATGTCAACTGAGACAAAATAACACCATGTGCAGTGAGGTCAACTGAGACAAAATAACACCATGTGCAGTGAGGTCAACTGAGACAAGATAACACCATGTGCAGTGATGTCAAGTGAGACAATATAACACCATGTGCAATGATGTCAACTGAGACAACATAACACTATGTGCAGTGATGTCAACTGAGACAAAATAACACCATGTGCAGTGATGTCAACTGAGACAACATAACACCATGTGCAGTGATGTCAACTGAGACAACATAACACCATGTGCAGTGATGTCAACTGAGACAACATAACACCATGTGCAGTGATGTCACACCACTGAGACAACAAGAACACACATGTGCAGTGATGTCAACTGAGACAACATAACACCATGTGCAGTGATGTCAACTGAGACAAAACATAACGCCATGTGCAGTGAAGTCAACTGAGACAACATAACACCATGTGCAGTGATGTCAACTGAGACAACATAACACCATGTGCAGTGAAGTCACCTGGACAACATAACACCATGTGCAGTGATGTCAACTGAGACAACATAACACCATGTGCAGTGAAGTCAACTGAGACAACATAACACCATGTGCAGTGATGTCAACAGAGACAACATAACACCATGTGCAGTGAAGTCAACTGAGACAAAATAACACCATGTGCAGTGATGTCAACTGAGACAATATAACACAACATACACCATGTGCAGTGATGTCAACTGTGCAGTGATGTCTAACTGAGACAAAATAACACCATGTGCAGTGATGTCAACTGAGACAAAATAACACCATGTGCAGTGAGGTCAACTGAGACAAGATAACACCATGTGCAGTGAGGTCAACTGAGACAAGATAACTGTGCAGTGACAACTGAGACAACATAACACCACGTGCAGTGATGTCAACTGAGACAACATAACACCATGTGCAGTGATGTCAACTGAGACAAGATAACACCATGTGCAGTGACGTCAACTGAGACAAGATAACACCATGTGCAGTGATGTCAACTGAGACAACATAACACCATGTGCAGTGATGTCAACTGAGACAACATAACACCATGTGCAGTGATGTCAACTGAGACAACATAACACCATGTGCAGTGATGTCAACTGAGACAACATAACACCATGTGCAATGATGTCAACTGAGACAACATAACACCATGTGCAGTGATGTCAAACTGAGACAACATAACACCATGTGCAGTGATGTCAACTGAGACAACATAACACCATGTGCAGTGATGTCAACTGAGACAACATAACACCATGTGCAGTGATGTCAACTGAGACAACATAACACCATGTGCAGTGAGGTCAAATGAGACAACATAACATAACACCAACTGTGCAGTGATGTCAACTGTGAGACAACATAACACCATGTGCAGTGATGTCAACTGGACAACATAACACCATGTGCAGCAGTGATGTCAACTGAGACAACATAACACCATGTGCAGTGATGTCAAATGTCAACTGAGACAACATAACACCAGTGTGCAGTGAGTGATGTCAACTGAGACAACAAAACACCATGTGCAGTGATGTCAACTGAGACAACATAACACCATGTGCAGTGATGTCAACTGAGACAACATAACACCATGTGCAGTGATGTCAACTGAGACAACACCATGTGCAGTGATGTCAACTGAGACAACATAACACCATGTGCAGTGATGTCAACTGAGACAACATAACACCATGTGCAGTGATGTCAACTGAGACAAGATAACACCATGTGCAGTGATGTCAACTGAGACAACATAACACCATGTGCAGTGAGGTCAAATGAGACAACATAACACCATGTGCAGTGATGTCAACTGAGACAACACCATGTGCAGTGATGTCAACTGAGACAACATAACATAAAAAAAATAGGATTATGGCTATTTATGTAATCAGCACCACAGAAACCAAAGTGTAATGGCTTTTGCCTTTTCCTTGCCGGCCACAACACTTTGGCCACATTAAAAGACAACACGGTTTTTTTTTAAACATACTCAAAGGAAAAGTCGAAGGCAAGAGAGCAAGAGGTAGCTAAAATTACAAGTGGGAGGACCAGATCAAGAGATGGCCGGTCTTCACCTTCTAGTTGGGTAGTGAAAGGAAGCCACCACCTTCAGATCAGAGCCCGAGGCAAATGGCTTGACCACTTCATCACGGAGACACCCTTGGACATTTGCTAAGAGACTGAATATCTGAGGGTCTACCAGCCACAACGAAAACAAATGATCCTTACCTGCTGTGATGTGATCAGTGCTCCAGATTTTAGAAAATACTTCACTGTCTAGTGGGCAAAAAAACAAGCTCATTATTAGATGGCAGTCACCTTATTGTACTCTAAATGAAAGCAACAATTTTACAATGCCGTGTGGCGTTGGTAGTCATGTCCACAACCTTCTGTCTCGTGTACCCTCAATCAAATCTGTCACAGAGGATCCCCCATGCCATGACGTCAAACTGTTCAGCATCTTTTCTTTCGGTTTCCCTCTGCCTCTTGTCCCCTCTAACTTTCCTACTCTCACGATGTACTCCAGTTTTCTTCTTCTCATCACATGACCAAAGAATGTAGATTGTCTCTTTCTGATGTGGGCAATTAGTTCTCTTCGCGATAACTTACTGACCCAAATTCATCTGTTCAGATTGTATTAGCTTGTCTACTTAGCATAAATTATTGTGTCAAAGATTTCATGGACACGTTTTGAATGTTTGACTCAGTGGTCTATTTGCCTGGTTGGATGGTCGACAAATGAGTTAGGCTGAGTTGAGTTGAGAGGCAATACTATAGTCCTTAAGACATTCCCATAAGCGCCCCATCCCTATCTTCAGCTGCTAATGAAGAGTTCCATCTCAGATGGTACCTGTAGGATTCTTCTTCGTTTTAGCATTCACCAGCTTTAAATTTCGGTAGAAAGCTGTGCTTGTTCGTCCAATTCTGGACTTCAATCTTGCTCCAGAGCTTGCATTTTTCCTGCACAACCGTTTATAGATCTAGCTAATTTTATGCAGACTGTTGGTTCCTTGTTCTCAGACTTCGAAGAAATAACCCATAATTAGTTTTTTTGACAACAGAATTGTTAAGGGAGATGGGGGGGGGGGGGGGGGCACATGGTCTTTTCCTCCTCTCCCCACATCCCTTTCAAATGGAGTCCCAAGTGCAAGTGTATGTCAGTTTTTTTTAATTTATTGATTGATTCAATCATTCATTCATGGTGACAGGTGACCACAGATGAATTACCTGAATGTTTCCAGAAATGACAGCACAGTGAATCGGCATGTTCTTTTCTCGATCCCGGAGGGCCAACAAATCTAACTTTTCAATTCCCTGTGATGGCGCTGTTATGTAGAAAGTGCATGACTGGATTGATCAATTTAACATTGCCAACACTACAATTACTGAACAAAGAAGACACAATCAATAGATTATTTGACATATTTCGCTGTATCTCGTCAGGGGAATTACACAGTAACAATTTTTTTTTTTTTAATTAATCCTCTATAATTGAAGTACAAATTCAAACACTCTCAAAAGCAACTGCTTGTTTTAGCAGAGCAATTACAATGTCACTATCATTTCTTTCTGTTTAAAACGTTCTCGACGTAAGTAACGAATATTGGCAGCTTCGAGAACTTTTAGCGCTCTGCCATTGGACGATGTATGAAAAATTCGAAATACACTGATCATCATCATCATCATCAGTTCTCGTTATGCCTAGTGGCACATGAGGCTTCAGAGAGGACCTTCCATGCTTTCCTGTCCTGTGCAATCTTCAGTGCAGTTTTCCATGTCAGGGATGCCACACTCAGGTCACTTTCCATCGTTCGTCTCCATGTTGTTTTTGGGCGCCTCTGTTTTCTCTTTCCTTCTGGTGTCCATGTGAGAGCTGTTTTGGCAGGTATATCAGAAGTCATTCTCATAACGTGGCCAAGCCATTTCTGTCTTCTTTTGGTAATCATACTGTCTAAAGTTTCTTGGTTTGTGGCTTGAAGTAGTTTAGTGTTTGAGATTGTATCTGGCCAGAAAATTTTGATAATTCTACGTAGACATGTGTGGTGGAAGGTGGACAGCTTGTGTGCATCCTTTCTGGTCATTCCCCAGCATTCACTGATGCACGCACCATAAACTCAGAACATGTTGCAATTACCATAAAGTCTTGTCAGATTGTCCGATAGGTGCAGCAGAAGATGTCCGAGGCCCAGGAATCATATATCCCCCCCCCCCCCTCTTACCTTAAGTTGTGGGCCATCATGCAGGTGTCCAGCTCCCACTGGCTGATACAGTAAAAACACAATAAAGGATCCTTTTTTCAAGCCTTTAGGCTTAGAGGGCTAGACCTATATTTTATGGACCAACTGGCATTCGATGGGTGATGTGGTAAACATAAGGCCAGTCGCCTTCACTTCCCAGAACTTTACCTGGTACTAATTTAAGGCTGGGTCAACCTGGGAGCCAAGGTCATTTAAAAAAAAAAGTTTTGCTCAGTAAGGAATTGAACCCAGGATCTTCAGATCTGCAGCTGAGCATCTAGCCGCTACATTATGAGGGTTTAGCTCAAGATATTACAGTTACCCTAGTTATATCACTAGCACAGCAGAGACTAATACCTTCTTCAAGTATTGCTTCTATTGAAGAGTTGGAGGCATTCTTGGCGGCGGAGTGGATGGGGTAGTTGCCATGGTCATCTCGGTTTAACGGTGAGGCCCCATTTGCCATCTGAAGAATCGGTAAAATGGTTACTGACACACATACATGCATATGGATTTGAACACTGTAGAATACATTCATAAATATGTAAGGCAGTTACTAACAAGCGTGTATATGTATGCATATGTGTGTGTGCATGCATGCATGTGTGTGAGAGATTTATATGTTATGTTCACATTTACGTATGAATTTACATGTACTGATGAAAGTTACATGTATTGATCAAAGTTTTGTATGTCAGTCATTAGCTGAGGTTCCCACTTCACTGGAAACAGGTCTCTGCTTTATCCCTGTGATAGGCTGATGTTGCACAAAACTAGTGCACTTTAAAAACTAGTAAGAAAACATATCAGTCCCACGGGCAAGGGAAATGCCTATGGCAGCTGTAGATGTGCCAACACCAGAAGTCTTCCACCAGAAATTACATGCCAGTGCCAATGCAAGCAGTAAATTATGAAAGCTGATTGGACATGCAATACTACATAAGTACACACAAATCCAAACGTGATAGATCACAGAAAGAAAATATTTCTAAATGAAAACCACAGCTCACAGTGTCACACTAAGCATTCAACTAAGCAGCTGGGCGATGGAACCCTTCAGACTCCCAGTTTAGAAATGACCAGAAACAAATAACTATTTCACAGCGTCTGTGGCTAGCGGGTCTATCTGCTGTGTCAGATCGGAAGCTTTGTAGACTTATATGTTATATATGTTAACAAATATGTAATACAGTCACGCCCCTCAACCCTCTCCTACCCCAACTTCTTTTGCCTTCTATCTCCAGTGGGGGATATACCCTTTGGACAAGACTGAATCTCTTACGAAAACACTTACCAACATTCTAACAACTGCTCCGTGGTTGTTGATGGCTGCCATATGCAAAGCAGTAAGACCTCCCTCTGCTTTGACATTAATGTTGGGCAGCGTGGGGATGAGTAGCTACAGGAAAGAGAAACATAAGATTACTGTACAGTCCTGATTTCATCTCTTCTGGTCACTCCTGCAGTCCTTCTCAGACATCTTATTTACGTATCACCAAATTTCATTCACTCATTATCCTATTGTGCCATTATATGTCACATAGGGCTCATGTCTATTCCTCCACTCCTTTCTATCCGGTGCAATAAGTTCAATATCATGGATAGAATCCAGTCCAGCAGCTTTGGCCTCTCTCATCAACATTCATTTTATGGTTTCTTTACAGCATCCATGCCTCCTTAATCCTTTTATTATCCATTGTAATGCCCGTTTGGTAACTAAATTATTAGTTTTTAAAAAAAAAAGAATTCTAAAAAAAAAAAAAAAAAAACACATACACAGAAGAAAAAAACTAACCAACCGAAACAATTTTGATAGCTCCGATCTCAGCCGCTGCGTGTATAGGCATCAAACCACTGCTATCTGCCACGGCAACTTGTACACCTCTGCTAAGAAGGGTAGAGACGATTTCACTGGCCTCGGCTGCAATGGCAAGGTGCAAGGGTGTCTTTCCTTCAGGGTCTTGTACATTCAAATCTATGACCAAAGAGAAGAGGTAAAGAAAAATGACCCTTTCCCACACCTTCGGGCATATTGGGCACATAGGAGGCTAAACCTGTATTGTATAGACCAAGGGGCATTTGGCGGGGGATGTGGTCAGTATCACGCCAGCCGCCTTTACTTCTCAGGAAATTACCTGGCACCCATTTAAGGCAGGATCAACTTGGCAGCCAATATAATTTTGTTTAAACAAAAAATACAGTTCCCCCAGGACATGAACTCATGACATTCAGAGCCACTGGCAAGCATCTAGCCGCTACACCATGGTAGCTTCCATGAGAAAAAATTAGATGTTCAAAATTCCAGGTAAGTGCGCACATTGTCAAGTATTTATAACAATATTCTTCTTCATCGTTCGTCCAAGTGGCGTCAATGAGTTGTGTGCCTGTTTACAGCATAGCTGCGATATTTGTGCCTTTAGGCTGACAAACCAACTTCTTCTGGCATTTGTTATTCAGGTTAGCCTTACCCATCAGTTTCTTGGAACATTCGTAGCCTCCTAACTGTGGTGCCTCCATCATCCCCTGATCCAAAAGTGGTGTTCCTGGAGGACCCCGACCAGCATAGCTGTGTGCCAATAGTCGGACCTCAAAAAGAAGATAAAGAAAAAGGACAAAGAGCAGGAGGATGAGGAGAAGAAGAAGAAGAAGAAGAAGAATGTACTAGAAGCAAAGCAGAGGAGGGGTTAACTTGTGATGAAGGGAGAAGAGAAGAGATAACTAAAGAATAATATGGATATCTACTACTTGAAATCTCGACTCCAAACCTACAAGAGCTCTCAACAATGCCACGTGGCGAGCCAAACCCAACCATAAGCTGCCTCAGTAGCAAGAAAAAAAAAGAGGAAAAGTTCGTTTAGGCGGGGGTAAAATCAAAGTATCTCACCCTGACAGCAAATCTTCTGTGTGGGGTCTAATATAGTTTAACAGTAAAACCTAGGCATACTAACTAAAATAACAAGAATGTAAGTCGATGAATACAGAAACTTTATTTGCTTGATGACATATAACAGTAATTCTTGACACTCTGAAAACTAAATATACTAAACAACTACTAACTGAAAGTATATGAGCAGACCAGTAGGACAAACCAAGCAACTAGTGATTCAATGAATAACAAAATACTGACAACTACTAGCAGACCAACAACCAGGTAGTACCGTTACGCAGTCTGAACCTAATTCGCGCTTTAACCGTGTGCGTTTTGGGCGACAAATTGGGAAGGGCTTCTAGACTCTGGGACAGCGATAGCTGGAAAGGGATTCTGTTAACGGAATCAGGCCTTTTATCACCTTCCACGACTCACGTGACCTGCTGGACATCACTGAAGAGTTCCACCAAACCACCTTGCCAGTGCCAGCAGCCATAGGTTGTTAAACCAACATAATAAACAGGCCAAAAATCTACCCTCTGTACCCAGCCTGTTACACATTCCCATACTAAATCTGTTGACGTCCTGACAACCAAGTAAAAAAAATAGATAACTGCCTTTTGAACCCTCTGAACTATCCTACATCCCACAAAGTTAGGGGTCATAACCACCGGCAAAAATTCCATGACATAGTACACATTTGCCCAATACATATTTGCAATAAAAAAATACATCAGTGGATGTCACTGAAATCAAAGCAAAACAAAAAATATATACTGAACATATACGAAAAAACTACATCAATAATGTAAACGATAATCAAACAATCATGAAACTATAGGAGTTATAAAACAGGAGTTCAGAAATTCATCACCCCATCTTCACCTCTATCCAACTCCACCTTCAAAAAAATGCAACTACAAATATATAAAATCCTCACCCCACTTCCGCCTGTTCTCAGGATGGCGAGCTCTACTTGAACGCCGAACACCTAAATCCCCTGGTTGGAAAATATACCATCCTAACTCTGACATAGACTGTAAATCGTCATCGGTTGTGACCACAGGATGCTTAGGCAATCCAAGTGTCACAGGTACTTCTTCAGCAGCATCTTCTTCACAACGCTTCAACTCATGACCAGCTACTCTAATCACTGGAGCTTCTACGCCAACTCTCTTTATTACATAAGGGCCCCCAGACTTTGCTGGTGCCCGAGTTACTACATATTTCTCTACAGACCACATATCTTTGATTTTTGCCCTCTCATTATAGTGTAGTCTCTTTCTAACCACTTCACCCACCTGTAGCGGTATGCCATGGGCAAACCTGTCACATCTATCTTTTCTAACAGCTCCCGCCTGCTTGAGATGAGCGTTTGCCTTATAGTGAGCTTCATGCAAGCGTGCCAAATGTTCTTGCAACCACCCATCTACACTCTCTGTTCCACTCTCATCAGTTGCTAAACTAAGCATAAAATCAATGAGCAAATTAGACTCCTTACCAAACACTAAGTAATATGGAGAGTACCCTGTTGATGCATGAGGTGTCGAATTATACGCTAACAGGACTTCAGCTATATGGTCGGACCATCTCCTTTTCTCACTGGTTAGCATCTGGCAGGGCAATACACCAGAATTCAGTTCGTCTCTGCCCCAATTCTCACTTAAACTCCTTCAGTCCCAGAGTGTTATCATTTGTGCTAGCCACATGAGCTACACACCATATGGACCAAGTGCATTTTCCCCTTCATCTTTCATATGTAGCACTAGGCCAGGGACGTACCTGCATTTAGTTTGAGCAGCTCCCGGAAAATCGGAGCTTGATTACTCATGATAGCCAGATGGACAAGGTAGTAGCCATCCGGATTGGGCATGTTGAGGCACTGGGGATTCTTGGTCATGAACTTTGAGAACTCATTGACATCCCCGTCGGCTACAATCTGCAGAAACAAAGATTCATAACGCTACAATCTGCAGAAACGAAGATTCATAACACTACAATCTGCAGAAACGAAGATTCATGACATTACAATCTGTAGAAACGAAGATTCATGACACTACAATCTGCAGAAACGAAGATTCATAACACTACAATATGCGGAAACAAAAATTCATAACACTACAATCTGCAGAAACGAAGATTCATGACACTACAATCTGCAGAAATGAAGATTCATGACACTACAATCTGCAGAAACGAAGATTCATGACACTACAATCTGCAGAAATGAAGATTCAAAACACTACAATCTGCAGAAACGAAGATTCATGACACTACAATCTGCAGAAACGAAGATTCATGACACTACAATCTGCAGAAACAAAGATTTGTAACACTACAATCTGCGGAAACAAAGATTCATTACACTACAATCTGCAGAAACGAAGATTCATGACACTACAATCTGCAGAAACATAGATTCATGACACTACAATCTGCGGAAAAGAACACTCCACCATAATATGCACAGAAGAACAATCAAAACTCTACTGCTGCAGAGAAAAACACTAAAGACACTACAATATCACCTGAGAGATGTACAACTCAACATACAATATCACCTGAGAGATGTACAACTCAACATTACACAAAGACATCACAACTTTACTTGATAAATTTACAACACAAAATTTACCTGATTGATACACAACACACATGACATAAGTGACTAAAATTGCAACATTACCTGAAAGATATACAACATGACATTGTCTGATAAATGTACAACACAACATTACCTGACTGATGCACAACACACATGACCTGAGAGACGAACATCACAACATTACCTGATAGCTATACAGTATGACATTGCCTGATAGATGTACAATGCAACATTACCTGATTGATACACAGCATCGAAAGATATACACAACCTGACAGATTTACAACATAAAATGCATCACCATCATCAAGTGCTTTGCTGACTGACGTTGGCAATTATGCCTCTCCATAATCTGCAATCTTCAACAGCATTTATCAATTTGTGTTAAGACACTTCCATGCCATGACAACAAACTGTCAAGAATCGTCTTGTGTTGTCTTCCTCTTTCTCTGTTTCCACACATTTTTTCAGTGGTCACATGTTCCAACGTCCCTCTTCTCAAAACAGGACCAACAATGCTGAACTGTCTCTTTCCTGATGGTTGTGATAAGTTGTCTGCGATCCCTTGCCTCTTTTAAAAAACCTACTTTGCTTTTTCTGGCTGGCCAGGGAATTTGAAGAATTATTCTGTAAAACCACATTTCTTGAAGACTCGAGAAATTGTTTGGCTGGTTTGTTATTTGTCCAGCATTCACAGCCATTTCCTGGCTGAGCCAAACTATTTTTTCAAAAATGACCTGGACTCCCAGGTCAATCCAGCCTTGAGTGGGTAACAGGTGCAGTCCCGGGAAGTAAAGGCAGCCGGCAGGATGCTGACCACATCACCCATCTTGTGCCGTTTGGTCTATAAAATAGAGGTCCAGTCATATATACCCTATACACCTAAAGGGTCCTTTACCATTTTTTTTAATTTTTATTCACAGCCATATGTTTAAAATGTCGTCATAGAGCATGCAACAATTCTTCTGCTAATGTTCAATGACACAGATTTACTGCATAAAGTAGTAGCCCATCTACCACTACAGTGCATTTCAAAAGTTGTGCCCTCATTTTTAAGAAGTATCTCTAAAACTCCTGGATGGATGAAGACAAATATTTGTAAGGACCTGAGATTTCCCACATCCTTATCATTTTATAATTTACAATTGCACAGGTGCTGCTGCTTTTTTAAAAGCGACAACATAACATTCCTTGAGAGATAAACAACACAACTTTACATGATAGATATCCAACACAATATTACTTGACAGACATACAACAGAACTTTACAACACAACTTTACATGATAGATATCCAACACAACATTATACCTGAGAGATATCCAACACAACATTACTTGACAGACATGCAACAGAACTTTACAACACAACATTAAACCTGAGAGATATCCAACACAACATTATACCTGAGAGATAACGAACACAACACTGCCTGACAGACATACAACAGAACTTTACAACACAACTTTACATGATAGATATCCAACACAACATTATACCTGAGAGATATCCAACACAACATTGCTTGACAGACATACAACAGAACTTTACAACACAACTTTACATGAAAGATATCCAACACAACATCACTTGACAGACATACAACAGAACTTTACAACACAACACAATACCTGAGAGATATCAAACACAACATCACTTTACTGACATACAACAGAACATAAACTAACAGACATAGAACACATTACCTGACAGACCTACAACACATTTCCTGAGAGATAAACAGCACAATATTACCTGATAAATGTCTTTCTCTATATCCACACGAGTCGGGTCGTCCACATCGCCAGCTTTCTTCTCAATTTTCTTGGCCTGATTTTCAGGAACTGACATTTTTTTTATTGCCGTGTCTTTGATAGATTCAGCCACAGATGGTCTCTTTGTGCTGTCCTTATGTGAATTATCATAAATGTTATAATTTAGAAATAAACCAAGGTACTAGGGTACGACTAGGGGAAATTATCAAAGAATTCAAAACAAGCACTGAAATAGGAAACAAACGGTCTAAGAAAAAGAGGAAGTCCAAGGAAAACATTAAAAAGAACATTTTTACGAGAATTAAAAATGCTGGGCTGAAATTCATGTCAGAAATTGAGAGTTGCATGTAATAGAGCGCAGTGGAGGTATTGAATGCGAGCCCTATGTGATGTCTAATGGCACACACAAAAATGATGATGATAACAACTAAGGTATCAAACACATTACTGAACAACGATGTTAACACAAAAAGATAAACAGGCTTATAACACAAGGTAAACAGGAGAAGTATAATAAATGGTAAAATTAAATGTACAAAGTACTTAATATAATAAAATAATACAATAAAATATACAATTTAACATGATATAATATGAGGTGATAAACGATGATATAATACAAGGTAACAGGGTGCAACTTAAAAAATATAATAAAATATTACAATATAGTTAATTGGCACCGTTCTGTCTTTCCAGATGATAGTGTTATATAGCTCTATGATGAGGCATGAGACTCACAGCCCATGGCGATGGATGACGAGTGTGATTAGCAAGACCCGGCTGTGTCAAGAAAAGTTTTCCACAAAGATAGCATGGGATTTCAGGACCAGTGTTGTCAACATTTGTGTTTAATCCCTGTTTTCTCAGACGCTCAGTTCTCATCCTTTCTGCAATCATTTCTTCCTTTAGTCTCATTTCCTTCCCCTGCCCTTTCCACACAAACATGGTCCATGGCATGTTGTTCGAATGAGTCCACCTCAATATTTGTATCATTCATGTTCTGCTTGCACACATCTGTATACCATAGAAGAGGTCGGCATCGACATCTTCTCCCTGCCTTTAATTCACCATAAAGGATGTCCTTAGGGACTCTGCCATCCTCCATTCTCCAGGTATGACCCAATATAATGTACAATATCATTTAACCAAATCTGATAAACAAGGATATAATACAAGGTAAAACAAGGGTAAAAAAGTAATTATTATAATAATATTATACGATATGTAACATACAATATGTAATACACAACATATAATATACTATGTAATGTAATTCAAGGTGATATCAAGAGTATAATACAACATAAAAGTATGGGTACAAAGTAATTATCAAGAGAATAATACAACCTAAAAGTATGGGTACAAAGTAATTACTATATTATTATTATTATTATTCACTAAATCATTCATGATCCCGTTGTGCCGTTATATGTCGCACAGGGCTTGCAGTCTACTCCTTCATTCCGTCCTATCCTGTGCAATCATGGATGGAATCTGTCCAGCACCTTTGGCCTCTCTCATCAACGTTCGTATTAAGGGGTTGTTTGGGCAACCTCGCTTCCTTAATCCTTTTATTTTCCATTGTAATACCTGTCTCGTGATTCTCTACCGGTTTCTTCTGGCCATCTTCCCTGTCTTATAACTGTTGATACTAGATGATCAAGATATCATGACATACAATATAACATTTTAAAAAAAAAGGAAAATAAAGATCCCTTTTCACACCTGTAGGCGCATCGGGCATATGGGAAGAGCATCCATATTTTTATAGACCAATCAGCACTAGGTGGGTAATGTGGTCAGAATTACTCCGGCCGCCTTTACTTCCCCAGGACATACGTCCTGGTACCCAGGGCCACCTGGAATACGAAGTCAGTTTATCATACCCGGGCAAGTTTCCGGAGGTGTATAGGAGATACATAGATGATGGCCTTGGTATCACCGAAATGTCCATGGTTGAGCTTGACCAATTTATTACTTACATTAACAATTTCAATCCGGCTATCAAATTCACCTCACTGATCTCCACCACTTCAGTAAACTTTCTTGACATCACGGTTAGCATCGATTTCCCGTGTCTGAAGACCACAGCCTACTACAAACTCACGGATTCTCAGTTATCTCCTCTATTTGTCTTCTCACTCACTACCGTGTAAAAAATTCTATTCCGTATTCACAGCTCCTTCTATTGCGTAGGTTGATTTCTTCCGTGCCCGTTTCTATCCGGAGCACATTCTACAAGGGGCGCTAAACAAAGTTTTAGCAATCACCAGGAGAGATGCTTTCCCCACCAAACGTAATTCCACCAGTGATGGAACCAAATTGATTTTGACTTTTCACCCTAATAATGTGGTTGCTTCCAGAGTATTCTTTTGTCATTTGGACATTCTCCGCTCTGATCCGGACACCAAAATTATCTTTAGTGAGAAACCTAGATTGGTTTATAGACGAGACCGCAACCTTAAAGACATACTTGTCCGAAGCTGACTCCCACGGATCCACACAGCACTTCCTTTTGGGACTACTGAATGCTCACGCAGCACATGCAAGACATGTCCTTTTGTTGTCCAGACTTCTTCGGTCAGTTTTCCTAATGGTTCTTTCCAAATTAGGGAACCTTTTACTTGCGAATCCCGCAACATAATTTATGCAATTGTCTGCAAACGATGCAGCAAGGCATACATTGGGGAAACTGGCAGGAAACTAGCTGATCGTTTCCGGGAACACCTCTCCGATATTGACAAGAAGACACTTAAACCAATCCCTCTCCATTTTAATAGCTCTGACCACAGAGGTAAAGATGATGTTTCTGTCACAGCATTAAAATCTTGCTCTGGCGATCATACTATCCGCCTCGCTTTGGAAAATCGCCTTATCCACAGCTTAGGCGTTCTTAGTCCAGGTGGTATCAATATCCAACATACCTTCACCTAAATAGTTCTACTCTTATCACATTTTACATGCTAATTATTTTCTTTTATTTCATATTATTACTTTATTTTATTTCTTATCAGTATCATTTATGTATCATTAACATTTGTATTTCTTTTGTTCCCTGTATTACATTATATGTTAACAATACTACTGTTTATTATTTTTATTTTTTGGGTATATTTTTTTAGCCATCGTTTATTTTATTTAATTTCATTTATTCCACATCATATTTTTTTTAAACATTGCTCACGTCACCCCTTAGAGATCTACATACTCTCCTCTCCTTGTTGTTACGTTTGTGTACTTCACTTGTGTTTGAAAAAGGCTGCCTGGCCGAAACGTTACATTGTGTTGTTTTTGTTCACGTTGATCTGCTTGCCCATTTTGTTGAGCTTTTTAGTCAAATTTCTCTGGAGTCCCTTGTATAAGCTTGACTGCAGTCACCCCCATATTTTTACCTATTTTAGGCTGGGTCGACCTGTGACTCCCCATACCATGATAAAAATCCACGCAGGCAGCAATGAGTTTTGATCGCGGTACGTTGAAATCACAAGTTGGACTCGCAACGCCTAAGCCACAGACGCCGCATGCAACATAATATAAAGTATATAATATCATCATCAAGTGCCTTGCCGACTGGCATGGGCGATCATGCTTCTCCACAATCTACGATCTGCAACTGTGTGTATCAGTTCGTGTGTTAACACTCCACAATCTACGATCTGCAACTGTGTGTATCAGTTCGTGTGTTAACACTCTACAATCTACGATCTGCATCTGCGTGAATCAGTTCGTGTGTTGACACCCCTCAATGTCATGACAAAAGACAGTCAAGAATCTTCTCACGCTGTCTTCCTCTGTCTCTCTTTCCACAGATCTTTCCAGTGGAAAGTGTATATAATATACAAAATAATATAATACAAGGTAATATCAAGACTGAGAATAAATACAAAGAAAACTAAGATCATGACAAACAGTCCAAACCAACAACCAGTGACCATAAGTAACCAATCACTTGAAAATGTAGAACATTTCACGTATCTTGGCAGTGTGGTGTCCCTACTGGGAGGGACAGAGGAAGACATACAGTAACGTCTGAACAAAGCTAGAGCTGCTTTTGAAAGGATGAGGCAAATCTGGAAATCCAGCAATTACTGTAAAGGAACGAAACTCCGACTCTACAAGAGCATCATTTTGCCAGTTCTTCTCTATGGAGCGGAATGCTGGAGAATGACCAAAAAGGATGCACACAAGCTGTCCACCTTCCACCACACATGTCTACGTAGAATTATCAAAATGTTCTGGCCAGATACAATCTCAAACACTAAACTACTTCAAACCACAAACCAAGAAACTTTAGACAGTATAATTACCAAGAGAAGATGGAAATGGCTTGGCCACGTTATGAGAATGACTTCTGATATACCTGACAAAACAGCTCTCACATCGACACCAGAGGGAAAGAGAAAACAGGGGCGCCCAAAAACAATATGGAGACGAACGATGGAAAGTGACCTGAGTGCGGCATCTTTGACATGGAAAACTGCATTGAAGATTGCACAGGACAGGAAAGCATGGAAAGTCCTCTCTGAAGCCTCATGTGCCACTAGGCATAACAAGAACTGATGATGAATATCAAGAGTGGGAGTAGCCGTGGCGTAGCAGCTAGACGCTCGTATGTGGATTGGAAGGTCATAGGTTCACTCCCTGGCAAAGCCTGACTTTTAAAAGCCTTGAGTGGGTACCGGGTGCAGTCTGGGAAAGTAAAGGCGGCCGGCATGATGCTGACCACATCACCCAACTTGTGCCAATTGGTCTATGAAAAACCCTAAAAATATAGGTCTAGCCTTATATGCCTCAAGGTGTGGAAAAGGGACCTTCACTTTTTTACTTTAATATCAAGAGTATAGTACAATGCAAAAGCAAGTTTACGAAGTAGGAACCAGAGCATTTGACAAGGTAACAAAGAAGTATACAACCCAAAAGTAAAATATCCGGGTGTATCACAAAGGTATACACAATGGTATATGATATCAGGGCATAACACAAGAATATAACAGACACAAATTCAAAGTACTTGAGGTGACACACGTGACTCTAAACAAAAACAACAAAACAAAGAAAAAAAACTAACTTCCCAGACAGCAGGTGTGAGCCATAAAAGATCTACACACACAAAGATAACAGATGATAGATCAT